GAGGACGCGGTGGGGGGAGAGACCGCGGGGTAATGGTGTCGGCGGAGGGGTAGGGGTAGGGGGAGAAGGAGGAGGAGAAGGATGAACGTACGTACACGGGCACACGTTTGGCGAGGAGGTGCTCGCCTTTCTCCGCGCTTAATACACTGTTTAGCAGCGACGGTACCGCGAGAGCAGTGTAATTAATTTGCGCACCAAGCACTGGCTCTTGCCGAGCTGCAACTCGAAGGACTCTTGTTGGAGATGCGAGGCCTGGGAGATTCTCTCGCTCTCTTCGTCGTGGCGATAATACGCTCGGCGCGAGGGAGAAAGCGAGTAGAGCGAGATGAGTGAGTGAAGCATGACCAAGTGGAAGGAAGAGAGAGATAGAGAGACAGAGAGACAGAGAGTGAGAGAGTGAGAGAGAGAGAGAGAGAGAGAGAGAGAAAGTGTGTGTGTATGCGCGTGTGCGTGATGCGAGAATGAGCGAGTGTGGGTTAGCGAGAGGGAGGGAGGGAGCAACCGAGGTTATCAGCCTTTCGGGCGCAAGAGGCGCACTGCGCGGCGACACCGGCCTGTCTTTCAGAGATTTATGTTTCATGAAGATTAGCCCGGCGCGCCGGAGCAGTGAGCTACAATGTCGATGATAAGTGCGTGAGCGCTCGAGCACTGTGTGGGAAGCTGCAGCAGCCACATTTTTGCACTTGTAAGAGATGTAGCAGCGCTGTTTGCGCGCGAGCGCAGCTATCATCGCATCGCCGAAGCTGACATCCCATAGCTCCGAGGCCGTCGGGGGTCGGCAAACTAGGCAATCCCAATGACGTAGAATCGGGCTGAGAGGACCGATAGCCGATCTCCCACCCCTCCCCTCGCCAATTGCCTCACAATCATGTGGACGCATAACGTGGGGCAGGCCGCTAAGCCGTTTAAAGCGGCTTAATCGAACTTAAAGCCGTAGCCGTTCGGAGCCAGATTTGGAAAAATTGCTGAAAGACGATGGAGAGTGGAGGGGGCGTTATTATTATTTGACAACGATTTTAGCGATTGGATTTGCGATAATAATCGTTTCCCAACTTTGGAATTTGACCTGCTTTGAAATGTTGAATTTCATGCTGAATTGTATGCAACGTAGGAAGGAATAGGAGCTCGATCCTGATAAGTGTAGTAGTTACGTTAGAGATATTCAATATCGCAATTTATTAAGTACAACGATACTCGCTCTCGTTCTATATTATTCAGATTTTCGCTTATTCAATTTCTTTTGATATTATATCTCACTAAAATTTAATTCAAACGAGCAGTGTTTGACTGCGTCAAACCCAACCATTCCCATCTTATCATAATATACAAGAAATTCATTTTAATTTTCATTCAAATAGCGTACAATGTTTTATTTTATAAACGTAATTCGTTCAATATTACTAGGCAAAATCATATTAATTTGCCTCTACTCGCAACTTTCGTTTGTACATACTTCCAGTATGATTTTTCACCATTTGCAGAATTTATTATTTATAAAGCTACCATTGTGATGTATTTTAATATTGAGGTTTTACGCGCTTATTGTTTCATTTTGACGAACGAAACATAAAGCATAATCAGCGATTATTCAACTATTTTGAAAAATAAAAGTATTCCTATTTGATAATATTGTTAATTGTGACTTGTATCATGAATCGCGCGATGCGCTTATTCAAATTAAAACTAAGATTAAAAAAAAAAGGCATAAGATTACGATTTAAGCATTTGAAAAGATGAAAGCTTTCAAGTTAATGTAATGCTCAAATATGAAAAAAAAAATTACGAACTTTAACAGTGAATATAAAAAATAAATTAAGTGGTCGATTGCAAGTCATACATTACGATAAAATGAGGTAAAATAAAATTTATTCTTTAAATATCTCAGAAAATGATAATTATATTGATATGAGAAAACGTTAGATTACAATATTTGATAATAAACAGATGTTGATTCCATTTTCGTATATTTATATATGTATATGTATATGTTTGTGTGTTTGTGGAGATGTTTGTTTGCTTTGTGTGTGTGTGTGTGCGTGCGTGCGTGTGTGTGTGTGTGTGTGTCTGTGTGTGTCTGTGTGTCTTATAACACAGTTAACGATAAAAATTATATTTCTTACTTCAATTATTTCTATTATTCTCTTTTTCTAAATACATTCAACGTAAATTGTATTATTTACTTCTTGTAATTGGACACCACCCACAACTATTCATGAATTGTCAGGATTAATTTGATTTATGGCTTCTAATCTAGATGGTTGCAATATTTTTTACAAATTAATTTCGATTTTAAAAACAGTTCTGTTCTTTGTGATAATACATTATTATTATTATTATTATTCAAGATACATAATTTTTAGTAATTTACAAATTTTATCTATTAACAATGAGTTTATGTAAATGGATAATGATATTAGTTCCTTAAATTGTAGTAAATATTCTTTTTTTTTTTAAGTAGAAGACATTTTAATTCGTAAGAACAATTAACGATGAGCATAAACATTGTATATAATATAAAAAATTCTTGTTTCCTTGGTATCCAAAATATATTGTACATATATTATTAATGAGATATTAATTAGTCGCTAATTATAATTTTTCATTCGTCGTCCGATCTTTTCCGAGTCAACGATAAATGAGATCAATATTTATATATTACATGTCCGTTAGATATTAAAGCTTTTAGTTTAATAGTATTCCGGCGTCTCATGAATATTCAATGTTAAACAAAATTTAAATTACAATCAGAACAGATATTTAAACAAGAACAAATAGGGCCAGTGAAAGGGTTTGTTATAATACGATTTAGCATACTTCTGCAGAGGAAAAAAATTTTTATTTTTTCAACCGTAACCGTTACTATTTAGCTATTCAACCAATTTAATATGAGACTGCAAGTGAAGCTAAAAAATAATTAATAATCAATGGGAGTCTTTGAAGGAAAATCAAATGATAAGGAATTCTGGGTAACAGTAACACTTCTGCTAGTACACTACAATGCCGGTATTCACGGGATAGCCTTTCCTATAGGTACATAACAATCTCTCAGTATGAATTCAGCAAAATTAATGTAGAGGTTGATAGGTCATCGTGGCGATGAGTCGCGTATACGCGAATTCTTCACCATACTCGATATGTATGACTCAAACTTATATTCGCATTATAAGATTGTCGCGATGACAGGGGCTGGCACACGAATTTAAATGACAAAGTGACTGGCCAAGTGTTATCATTCGACCAGTCAAATTTATCCTTAAATTATGAAAAAATTTTCTCAACTACATATTAATGTAATTATTATTTGTGGTTACAATGTAAGCTTTTTATTTTTGTAAGCAATGTGTCTTGGAAAATGCTACGCTTATCTTCGCACATGCGGTGTTTCAATAAGCGCTCGTAATCAATGCTCATCAATAATGAATTTGAGTCGTGAATTACAAAATATCGATGGCATTTAAAAAGATTCTCATACTCCAAACTTATAAATAAATCAATTGAATTAAATTGAAACTGCTTGGGTATTTTTATAATTTTTTTTTATTTTTATTTTTTTATAAAGCCGACAGAATTGCTTTATTCCGATTTTTCGAGTTTCCTCTACGTTCGAATCAAACTTTATACATACAAGGGCTCAAAATATAAATTAGTCACGAATCTGCTGGCACATCTAGAAGGATTGTCTATTAAAAAAAAAAAAAAAAAAAAAAAAAAAAAAAAAAAAAAAAAAAAAAAAATTAACTGTTACCGAAATTCTACAGATGCCCCGCTTAAACGGCGAGAAAAAGCGGACTTTGTAAGCACTAGAGGCAACCGTACGAGAAAAAGAAGATAAAACTATCGTCAGCAGAAGGATGACTTACCAGTTTTTTGTGAATTGCCGCCAAGTCCCTGAAGCTTCTTCCAACTCTTCCAGCCTTTCTTCCATATCATAGCGGCTTTGGTCTTGCTGCGCTGTTGCTGCTGTTGCTGCTGATGCTGATGCTGCTGTTGTTGTTGCTGCTGCTGCTGTTGTTGTTGCTGCTGCTGCTGCTGGTGATGATGATGATGATTGTTACAGCCAAGGAGATGGACGTTGCTCAGAAGCTCGGGAGTGCAAGTCCTTCCCAGACTGCGTCTCAGCGATCCCAAGCCCGACCTGCGTCATAGACGGCACATAATATTCGGTGATTCGGTAATTCGCACCACGAGATAAGAGAGGACGTGTCTGTGCATATGTACGCGAGGGGCGTCGGGAGCGAGAGGGAGGGCGAGGCTGCGCCGTGGACTCTTCAGTTTGGATTTACTTAAACATGCGACTACGTGACAGGCGGGACCTCACAGGTGGACTATATAGATGAATATATATATATATATATATATGTCTCTAGGACTTTGGGGGATTAAGCCATGTGTCGGTCGATGGATTTACGATCACGCCAAAATGGGGCATACAAGGTCACGCCTTTGTCGAATTTTGGATTCCCTATTCTTTTCGGATGAGACGTCTATGGCTTTATTATGCTGAGCGCTCGAGACGTTTTGAAAAAATAACAATGTTGACGGGGACGGTCCTGTGGTACACTATTTTAACTCGCTCGCTTAAATTCTTTACCCATATAATGCGAAACTCCCTATCCTACTCTATTTATTCATCACACACGAGACAGATATCAAAGCCACATATATTCTCCAACTGACCATTTCATTGATCTTCCAATACTTTTTCTACACATCCATTATATTTTATTATATTCTAAAAATACTGTATGCTAATTCGTTTATACGGAGTGTATCCACAGTGGCAGTTTATTTTAAGATTGATCCGAAGAATTACAAAATTAAACATCTTCTATTAAGAGAATAGACAAAAACAAAAAAACAAAAAAAAAAACAAAAAAACAATGATTGCACGAATGCAGTTTTCTATGTTAAATGAAAATATTTGTATATTAAAGGATTTTAATCACCGCGAGAAAATAATTTCAACTTTTCACCTTTATCCTATTAACAGCATATTACTTAACTTTGGTTGATTATGAAATTTTTATACTCTGTTGAAATTTTGGAATTATTGGCATTTCACTCGCCCATATTGCAAATAAATAATGATAAAAAATTGAATTCACAACTTTCATAATGAAGATTCTAAGCTCGAATTTAGAAATTAATTATTATTATGAGGTTGGAAAGATGAATTAATATCAAATTAAATATACGCTCGAAGTTGTCCATTGAATCCAACTAAAATCTAACACCGTTCATAACGTCGAATATAGCGTTCAGAGGATCTCTTAGAGGAGGATTTTTCGTTCGAAACTTGATTATGAGTTTGCTGAGGAGGAAACGAAAGAGTCGTGCATTTGAAATATATCTCTTCTCGCTTAACACTATCTACATAATCCCGTTGATAACGGCAGTCACGAGGCTCTGTTAATTATTCGGTGCAAGGGGGAAGTGCAAGCATGTCTGAGGTACGAGTACGAGGTTAAGAGAGAAACCGAAATTCGAAGGACGAGGCGAGGAGTCGTTTGGTATTTTCGAGTTATCTCGATGCCAGAACCAAATCCATCCAAGTCCTTGGGCTAGGGGGCCGTGGGTTATTGGCGAGACGTCACTCGGCTTCCTTCGCTTACCTGTAGCTGGCGCTGGAGCTGCCGCTGAAGCCGCTGTCGAGGTCGCCGCAGCCGATCGGCGAGGAGAGCAGCTCGTCGGGTTGGCTGCTAACGGAGCCGAGCAGCAGCTCGTCCGCGGCGCCGTTGCTCACGTTCGGCTGATCATCGCCGTCCTCGGGCTCGTCATCGGCCGTCTGGTCGGCGAGAGTCGGCATTAGCATCGCCTCCACGCTGAGGTTCAGCTCGCCGAGAACCCGCCGGTGCCGAGACTGGACCTGGCGCACCTCGTCCGCAACCAAGGACCGACGCGAGCCGTGCAGTCCCCGGCGGCATTGTCGCCTGTAACACGAGGACACGAGGAGGCCCTCTTCATAATCATGGTAATGCGAGCAAGGCATATTGGGGCACATAATTACAATTCGCCAGCGCGATAATACTATTATGCAATAATTTTCAATCGCCCCAGGCCGTTGTGCTCATTAGTAATGCACGATCACGCTTAAACGGTCAATTGTTGGCTACTATAATGATTTCTAACGATCCACGGCAACGAGGATTAAAGCCGGTAAAGTATCAATATTCCAGTAATTCGAGGTATTCGATTACCGTGCTTCGGCGCCCACAGCCGTATCGTCGATAATAACGTTTTGCAGAAAATTATTGATATTACGACGAATGGAAAATCAATGCTATTGGCCACTAATCTATCCTTACAATTGTCTGTTATATATTTTTTAAATTATACGCCTCTAATTAGTCATAAGCATTACGTTCGCAGTGCAATTCGTATACTACGTACGAATGTGCAACAATTATCGTACTTGTTCTAAAATGATTAAGTTTGTACGATAATTGTTGGGAGTATGAAATATAGTAACCAATGTAACGTTTCGCTTCATTTTGTCGTGTAGTCAAACTCGACAGGGTTGTTGCGACTCGAATGTACCCTCGCAATACCCACCACTATAAAATTATATAACATGGGATAATAAAAATTCGCATTTGCGATGAAAAATTGACAAATAGTAGTACGGACGAGATACTATTGATATTGATGAATAATTGATCGAAAAATAGGTATTTCTGTCGTCGATATCATATATATCGCTAGCGCTATGCACTTATGTAAACATCAATTACTCTTGGCTTAATATAAAAAAATGCGATTAACATACCTTATAATCTTTGTGCTTTGAACATGAATCGCTGCCGTACCGGTACGATCATACCGGTTTAAAATGATTAAATGTACATTTTTCAAGCCTACAAATAACATGCCATTCAACACGTAAGCTCGCTTAGTCAATGAGACTTGCCAAACGCCAAGTACAAGCAGCGGTTAAATAGCGAGTTCTCCGCCTCGTTCGCAGTTACGCACACGCACGAGCTTCTAAGCGCATATTTCTCGCATCCGATAAGCGCAATATGGCGGCTCTGTGTTTCCGTGCGCCACAATAGCCATGTGCAAACAGCCGAGGGAA